ACACACACACACCACCACCACCACCACCACCACCACCACCACCACCACCACCACCACCACCACCACCACCACCACCACCACCACCACCACCACCACCACCACCACTTTGATGCTCACCCGCATATATTTACACTACAGACGCCAACGCACGCTTTAGTCGGGGGTAAAAGGCTGCAGCCTCTAGCCAGCGTCTGAGAAACCAACCTCATTCCTCCCTTTTCAACTCATGCGGCGTCTGTTAAGCACCGTCTTTCGCCTCCCGGACGTAGGGGTTGCACTCCAGAGAGGGTGGGTATGTAAGTGGTAGTATCGAATGTAAAATTACTATGATCACATAATCAATCCCAAGTAGTCCTTATCTATAAACTCTAAAATTTAATATAACAGGAAAATCACCCTTCTCAAATATGTCGATTCGCTACCAATGATGGGTGAAGTAGATAGGTGTAGAAACTCGTGCGGTACAACGCCTCAGGATCTGTGGAAGTTAATGCTCAAGGTACAAGGGGAAGATCAACCCTACAGCCCAGGCGTTTCATTCGCAAAGTGTAAAGGTAATTGGTATAAACTGTTTTCGCCAATTCAGAAGGTCAGAGACTAAAAAAGTGTAAGCTCTCATTTGACAACGAACAGTCTATGTCTATTCAGTTAACTTTCAGGACGAATGATTCTTTCGTTGCACAATTTAGTACAGCCGGTTATCATAAACAGACAAAAAAACCCATGTCACATATATGTGCCACCATATACATATATGTTTATGAAAGATATATATATGTATAAAACTGATAGTCAATGTCAGGGGAAGACCGAGTTAGAAGTTCGCCCTCCACATGGATATATACACTCCAGTTTGCCATGGCGACTGCGCCACCCAGGTAGAAGGTGGGTGGTAGGCGATCACTTTGTGCTTCCGCTGTTCAAGGCGTTACGTCCCTCCTTCTCCATGTGTGCGAAAGTGTTTATCACACATTCTCGCATCAGCGCCCATACACATGTGTTTTCTTCGTGCAGATGTCGAGGGGCGCACTTGCTGTCGTGGTCGCACATGTGTGTGATCTTAAAGTTGTCACCATGGCCACCCTCCCATACTGCGGTAAACTGGTGTGTCTGCGCAATAAAGTAAAACGCAGACTTCCCTTCATTCTCAGTAGTTCAGATGGCATTATTTTTAGACTAGGAGCATTGACCCATGCTGCTACATGAGTCATTATTCTAGGCGATTCTTAAGTAAAGTACTGAGAGGTTAGTCTAAAGTCTAAACCGTTCACTCAATCACTTTTTCACCTAATAACATGAGCAATGTGATTTTGGTTGAATTGGTCACCCACGTCCCAAAAGAGGGTAGAGCCTGCATTAATTGACTTCAAAGGAGTGAGATGAGGGCGGCCTTTTATCGTCTCCACCGTAGTTGCTCAAAAGCTGGCACATCCAAGTGTACGAAGGCGGAGGCGTGACAAAGACAAAGTTCTCCTGTTTAAAGGCGATCACAGGATCCATGTTTCCCGTTGAATTAGGTTAAAGTGGACCATGGCGTCCATCTATGGCTAATAAAGTTTTTACAATATTTCAAGAAAAGATTGAAAAGGATGCTTGCCTGGAACGACATGTTCTTCCCAAGCAGTCCGGATTGCATATGAACTATGTGAGTGTTCAAAAGACACAGAGACTTCACGTTGTGATCATCGTCACTTGCCACTACATTTCACCTTCTTTTCAATTCTACTTACGCACTATTCCATCGCAACTCCAGCCACAACACTTTGCTGCTACGGCTACAGACAAGACCAGCGAAGCGTTAGTTAACCGTCACGTACATCTCAGCAACAAACACACTACAGACGCCAACGCACGCTTTAGTCGGGGGTAAAAGGCTGCAGCCTCTAGCCAGCGTCTGAGAAACCAACCTCATTCCTCCCTTTTCAACTCATGCGGCGTCTGTTAAGCACCGTCTTTCGCCTCCCGGACGTAGGGGTTGCACTCCAGAGAGGGTGGGTATGTAAGTGGTAGTATCGAATGTAAAATTACTATGATCACATAATCAATCCCAAGTAGTCCTTATCTATAAACTCTAAAATTTAATATAACAGGAAAATCACCCTTCTCAAATATGTCGATTCGCTACCAATGATGGGTGAAGTAGATAGGTGTAGAAACTCGTGCGGTACAACGCCTCAGGATCTGTGGAAGTTAATGCTCAAGGTACAAGGGGAAGATCAACCCTACAGCCCAGGCGTTTCATTCGCAAAGTGTAAAGGTAATTGGTATAAACTGTTTTCGCCAATTCAGAAGGTCAGAGACTAAAAAAGTGTAAGCTCTCATTTGACAACGAACAGTCTATGTCTATTCAGTTAACTTTCAGGA